TTGGTGGCATCTATTTACCTGGGACTGCTTGGTGATGATGACCTGCTAAAAACTTTGCAACAAACATGACGCTTGCAGAGTACTCTAAGTCACATCTCCCAGGACAGACCTTTCCAGAACACTAGCAATATGTCAGGACAACACTTGTTTGGGCCATGCAGACAAAAATAAAGGGAAAATTCTACAGCTGTTCACTTGTTATGCAAATGACTTTTCTAAAACTTCAGTAATTTGCTGGTTGCTGCTGCCTCAGTGGTCGATTGCTTGGTAAGGGCAACAGATTACCTGCCCCAAGGTATTATGCCAGCAAACATGGTAGCTGCTGTTCTGCTCTCAGAGAGTTTGTGCTGAAACAAAAGCAAACTCATAAGGAAAACAGATGTTTGATCTTCTGTGTCTGCAAATATTATCACAAGCTATTTGTAAAGCAGAAAGTGAGCGGTGCATGTCCTATTAGAGGAAAAGCAGCTCTCCTGAAGATGAAAATTTGTCAGAAGAAATTATTAAAAGGTAGCCAGAGCCTACAATGAGGAAAATGAAATGCAAGATTCTTCAAAGTTTATAAAGCTTCTGCATGTGGAGACTAAAAACCTCCTTTTCCTAGAAACCCTGAAAAATATTTAAGAGTTTTTTCTTTGGATGCTTTTCCCAAGGACTAAACTTGCTGGCCCATGGCAGTTAGTTAATCCTGATGTAGAGAAAGTGCATAGTAAGGCAAACAGGCCTCCTATATCACTGATATTGCCAAGACAATAAACTCTTCTATTTTTTTTTTGTGTAAAAGCTGTACCCCGTGCTTAGCTTCCTGTGGGCTAGGTGTAGGCAGCTGACACACAATGAGACTTTTAAACTAAGCTTCAGTTGAAAATCACTGTAATTATTATAGTGAGAATTCATCAGTTTGCACTTTCTATAGACAGGCAGAACAGTTGTGAGGTGGTTTGGGAGCATGACCAAGTTTCTACCTATGTCTGGTTGTGGCAAAGCACTGAGAGAAATAGACTTAAGGAAGGAACACTTGGTTTTCCCACCAGGTGGGAAAACACCAGGTCATCCCCACCTACTAGAGGGGGAATGGAGATCATGCAGGTTCATGTGCCAAACTGGCAGTGCTACAGCCCAGCTGAGACTGTTCGTTGGATCTCTTCAACTTTGTCCCCTCTACATATAGGAAAAACTCTTTACTTTTGGGAAATCTGTTAGTTTTTTACCTTTATGATCAACTCTACATATATATGCTTCTATGTCTGTTCCTGATATTCCCCCATAGAAATCCAACAGTGCTTTTCCAAGGCAGAGCACATAGTGCCTGCACTTTTACACCTGTATCTCTTTTCTTCATTCAGAGATAAGGTTCCTTGTCTGTTTCTTATAAATTGTATAAAAGGCAACTTAATGCTAGCTGTAGCACTACTCATGGTAATGAAGCTACATGATCCCTTAATAGTGATTAAATGCTCTGATTTGGCAAAGACAGATATTTTATTGAGGAGCAAGAAAGTAGAATAAAATATCTGGCAACATCCTGGAATGAAGCTAAAGAGTAGAGCTTCTCCTAAGCGTGCAGCCCTGCCTCGCACAGGTAACAGTGCAGTAACCCCTGGAGCTGCTCCAGGCCCAGACCACGTTTATTGGCCAGCAAAACTAAAACAGGTCTTCAGTCTCTGAATGCTTCTGTATTTCACACAGTCTGTACTGTGCCTGTCAGCCCACCAAGGAAGGAAAGTGAATGAAGTAACTGAAAAACTTCACTCCTTCCCACTCCTCTGCACTTCTTCCCCTCTTCAGGGGTCTCTGGAATCTGTCGTGTCTGTCTCAGGCAAAGCAAGCACTGATACATACCCCAGAACACGGGATTTTAGAGTGATATAACGTGATTGAGCACATTTCTTTGTCATGTTGCATGGATTTCCCCACACCTAAGCAGCATCCTTAAGGTAAACTTGCAACTATTGAGAAAGCTTTGCCAAGGGAGAGGTCTGCTGCTGGCAAGGCAACTGTGAGGAAAGAGCAGAGGTAAAAATCTGCAGAATTGTGTCCTCCCACAGCCAGGATCTTGGAAAACAACAATACACTCAACACCCACAAGCATGCGGGTAAGAAAAGGAGAATCACCTTGGCTATAATTAAAACTGTTTCAAAGAGCTTGGCCACTGGGCATGTTTCTTCTGTCATGACTGAATCAGCAGTTCAATCTCCAGCTCACAGGGCTTTTTTAATTTTCCATCCCCCTCTCTTGTTTCTGTATTTGTGTTTTTCAGTAGTTTATGTGAAGGGAAAGAAAGGGGCAGTCTTGGGAACATCCCTTCTTTTTGCTTATGCCAACTGGTTTCCCTGTTTACTTTGAAAAAAAACCTGTAAGTGTTGCAGTTTGGTTCTGGTGGCTCCTAGCGCATTGGAAATGCCAGATGAACACAGCAGGAAATGAACTTCCCAGAGCAGAAGGCTTCAAGGGAGATCAACTTCTGGTAAACTGAATTCTGAAGTGCGAGTTTGCCGCCTCTAGAACAGGGCCTGAAAATATTAGCATCCATCCTTGTGTGACATTGCAGGCTAACACTCTGTCCCTGTATCGTCTTGTTTTATTTTAATGATATGGTCTGGCTTTATTTTAATGATATGGTCTAGTTTTCCAGATAAAATGGGGGGATTCTTGGAGCACCAGAGCTTCACTAGAATACACTGTGCTTTGGGATCTGGATTTGTGCCATAAGTAGGGCTTGTAGGACTTGGAGATATGCACTGCATGATGCTCTTCCTCAAAGATAGGTCCTGTAGAGTACAGAAGTCAGGAAACCAGACCAAGAGGAGTGGAATGTTTTATAGAAGTGGTATGTTTAACATGGCTTCTGGACCTCAGAAGTCTGTGAAATTATGGTTACTGTGTTATCTGTGTAGCTGTTGGTGGGAAGACTCTCCTGAGTGTTATTTGTTATATTATTATTATGCATTGTGAAAAGGTTGCAGTTACGACTAGCTTTCCCTGCCTCAGACTTGCTCTGTTACTGGGTTTTACAGACATATACTGCTTCCTATTTTACAGTACCAGAAGGGAAATGACTTCCTAAAGCTGAGGAGACTGTGGGGTGCCCTTTTGCTTTTGTTACTTGCTTGAAAGGTAGCATATTAGCCTAATTCATCCCTCCCTGGCCTCAGTGTAAACACTGATTTAAGGGAGGGCTAATTGAATTGTGGAACACACAGTATTTCTGTAGCATGGTTTCAAGTGATTTGCAGTTCATTTCAGATAATCCCATCTTCTCTTTTCCAGCTGTGATAAAATGCAGAAGTAGGGAGTGAGAGCGACTTTGGCCCTCTCACCTCAAAAACAGGAGTGTCTTTTCTAGTGAGAATAAAAATCCCATTAATTTATCAGGATTACAGTAGCTCTTTGCAGGTGAAGATAGAGCTCTGTAGTGAAAAAGGCACAAGAAAATTTTATTGCAGATGAAATGTTGAGACTGAATAACCCCAGTAAAACCAAATTTTGTTTATCTGTATTTTAAAAAACTTGATAGATGTGCTTCCAAGTATTGTTTTTTAACCTTATAGGTGAGAATGAAAGAAATGAGAGAATTAAAGCATGCTGAAATTCTACACCCTGAGATAGTGCAGTACAGCTGGATTTTTATGTTTCCTTTTCTAATGTTAAGCTTCTTTTTGTTTTTATTTTTCTTCTAATATCATACTTAGTTGATCTTTGCTTGCTTACCCAAAAGAAAGCAACAAACAAACATAAAAAATATTATCGGAAGAACCTTACTGATCATAGTTTTTAGACTTGGAAAATATCTAGTACATTTTCTAGTATCTAGTGAAAATGTGTGGCTGAAAATATCACTGTACTTGATAGCCTTGAAGAAGTTTGACTGGGTATAAGCAGAGACAGCTGGGTCTCTATCAGCTCTGTCTTCAACATTTCAAAGCACAGAATAACAGATCACAGAGGAGAAAAGCCCCTTAGAATTGGGAGGAAAGCCTGGCTAAGGTGGTTGCTTTATTTTTCAGGTATCAAAGCAAGCCAAAGAATTCCTGGAGTATGTGTATGAGGAGCCACTGATTGACATCCAACAGGAAAACCCCATGTTGTACCAGCATGTTGAACCTCTGGCAACTGTTGTGCGCCTGAGACAGCAGCTAAAATCTCTCCGGGCCTATTTGTTCAGCTGCAGAGCAGCAGTGGCTGAAGACCTGCGTAGAAGGTAAGGACCAAGCACAACATGCAGCACAAGGATATAATTTCTTTGTTCTTTTTCCTTTTTGCTCCCGATTCTGAAGGTGTTACACATTTAGAAGGACGGTTCCATTCGGGTTTGCAGGGCCTGAGCACCTGAAGTTGTTCTTGAGAACTGTTAGTGCAGGGCTCGCACGCTTCTCTGCCCATGGCAAAGCTGTGCTGAAAGTTTTCTTTATCGGAAAACAAATGCTCGTAGCACAGCAGAAGGCATTTCATTTGTTATCCTTTCATATTGAGTTTTTCTTGCGGGAAATAATAGGTTTATAAAAAGTGCAATTCATTTTGGAAGTGCTGTAACTTGGACCATTAAGCTGTGGCTGCATTTTCCTAACGAGCTAAAAAGACCAACCTTCTTGCAACCATTAAGCCAGTGCTGTGGCTTTAAAAAAATAAATAATAAATTATTTATTTCTGTTATCCCAGAGGGTGGTATTATCTTGAAGAATGTCTTGCTGCTCAGGTCTTAATAACTTTTCTATGCTGTCCTCTTCAGCGGCAAAAAACAGAAAGGACAGCAAGACCTGGGAAGGCTGTTGTTCAGAGAGTGTGGTAGAAAGGAAAATCTGCCTTCTGATTAATGATGAAGAAAAGAATACCCTTAAAACTGAGAGAAGAGGGCAGGAGAGACTGAAGGGAGGTGGGTAGGAGTAGGAGAGCAAAATGGAGACATTGAAGGAGGCCTAAACAGAGAACTCAATGCACCAGTGACAGGCAAGAGAGAAGACCAGCAGAATGCAGCAAGTGGAGGGGTCAGGGCCGAGGGAATGAGATAGTGAAGAGGGCTCTTGGGGAAAGGAAATGTTACTGAGGGAACCCAAAAACCTGCCCCCAAAAGGGAGAGATAGTGAATGCTGAAGAAATGGAGAGAAGGAGAATGAACATACCTGTTCATGTGGTATTTCAAGGAGAAAAGATAGAGAAAAATGAGTTATTAAAACATTAGGTGAAGCATTTGACACCAACTGTGGTTAGCATACAGAGAGAAGAAGAAGCACCGCAGGCAAACACGTCGTCTGGTTAGCATACAGAGAGAAGAGGAAGAAGCACCGCAGGCAAACACGTCGTGTCTGGTTTGAGGGCTCTGGCTTGGGTGATGGTGTTTTCTGGTGTATTGACTGGGCACCGCTGGAGCCCAGGCTGGCAGAAGAGGAAAGGGGGGAAACGCTCCCTTTCTTGTTTCTGGATCCTTGGTTTAAAGCTGGGAAGACTTTGAATGGCTCCTTTGTTTGCCTCACGATTACCCTGCGTTAAACTTGGCCTTCTTGTGGACCTGCAGCTGATCTCTGCGTAGGGCAGTGAGCTGGACCAGCATGAGGAGGGCGAGAATACCGGGGTGGGACTTTGCCTCTGAGGAAGCAGCTCCAATCTTGAAGGACTTGGAACCAAGTCCATCAGAAGCCAAAGAAGGAATGTTCCCAAAACACCAAATAAGCCTTAGGATCAGATCCTTCTTGGATTGTGGAGCCTCTGTCAGGATGGGTTGTGGTTACTGTTGGTTCCTGAGGTCTCCCCTAAGGGATGTGCAGAGGTGAAAAGGAAAAGTCCCTTTCCTGGAAGCAGCTATTCCTTGCTCTACGCTGGTTCCAGTGGTTTTTCTTTCTGCATGTAGCATCAGAGCACGCGGATCCTCACTCTGGGTGGTGGCTTTACAGAGCACAAGTGACAAATAAAGAAAATAGGTGATTTAATTTTTCCTTTGATTATTTACAAGAGCAAGCTACAAGAAAAGGGGCAATTAAACCAACACTGTTAGGCAGCATTCCTAAATTTAGTACTGTTTCCTAGTCAGCAATGAAAGTCAGGGGAGAGAATCCAGTTATCTGTCCTGCTCTAAAAACATTCTTTTTCTGCTTGGTCTTCACCTTCCTATGCACATGACTATTAATCACAAGCAAGTGAACACAGCATCTTGAAGGCCTGTCAGACCCATATAAACAGACTGAAACAAACTGTTAATACTGCTGTCTAAGGAGAACTAAAAACAGACTGATTAATTGTATTGGCACCTTGCTGCCTTAGGGACACTGATAGAGCCTGCCTTATTAGGGAAAAGGAGATCACTTAGAGGCTTCTTTTATTAATATTATTTGTATTATCATATTCTTTAAATCTATACCTTGCTCTTGAACCCAGATCTCCCAATGAAGATGCCAGTGAATCTGGAAACTCTTGGTGTCCTCTGGGAAGACAAAACTATTTACAGTGCTTACAAGTGGCTTTTTTGAAGAATTCCAGATGGCCATAAACCAGGTTAGCTCAGGATCCAGTAGGTTTAAATGTGGAAATGTTATTTATAATGCCTAGATAGGTACTTTGGGAACTTTGTAAAACTTGGCATCTAGCAGAGGCGTCTAGCAGAGTGCTCAAGGCTGAACCACAACGTGAACTCTGAGAGGCGAGTGACCACATAGGAAGGAAGGAAGGAAGGAAGAAAAGCAAAAGAAGTCCTGAAAGGAGCTGGGAGGCAAAAAGTAAAACTGGATCGCGTGACTAATAATGATTTATTTTCACAAACGGATTCTAAACTCTTGATGCATTTGCAGGAAAGGAAGTCAGAGTTGAAATCAAACCCTCCATCAGTGCCTATCAGCAAAGACAGCCAGGTGATGCTTCCAGCCTGGTTTTGGGCACCCCGTTCTATCGGGGTCCCATCTTATTTCTCATCTCCTCTGTACGATACCACTTGTCTACCAGCTCCAGAACAGCAATACTGTAGTTCTCAAAACTCCAGTGCTGGGTGTGTTACTTAGAGCTCCTGGAGTGGTTCTTGCAGCACCAGGTTAAAGGTACCATTGGAGACACGTGGACCTGGCCGCGCCGGCTGCTCTGTCAGCGTAGCGCAGAAATTCAGCGACGCCGAACACTGGGATCCTGAGGCCTTAAAAATATCACTCTGACACAGGGTTACTTTCAAAATATTTGTGTGGCAACTGGGGGGCCTGTCTAAACACATCCCAGGAATCCTGATTGATCTTATGCAATCACTGTACCACCAAATGTCTCACGTACGTGAAGCTGGGGCTGTGTCGGGTCATCTTGCAGACCGAGGAGGACACAAGGTCGTTAAGCCACAGCACAGCCCTCAAAGGAGACTCTTCCCCATTTTCCTTGCAGCAGGGAGGCCCATTGGAGAGTGGAAAAATCCCAAAGCAGGAAAAGTGCAGCGCAGGAAAGCAGTAGACTGCAAAAGGAAGATCTTAGGAAGCTTTCATTAAAACTGAAGCAGGCTCAGGATGCAAGGTAGCTAGACCTTGTGCTTTTTTTTCCAACTAGGGGTAACAGCCAGAGCACAGTGGACAGGCCGGTCTTTCGGTTCACATTGACATCTTCCTGTCCAGGGACACATCTGCACCTTTGTCAAATGCATCAGTAATATTAGATGTCTTTTAAAATGGTAGTTTTCCTTCTTCTTGGTAGACTAGGTTGCTACTACTTTAAATATTACCTGTGTTTTCACTTTAGCACTTGCAGCAGATGCAGAAGGGCACTTGGCAAGAAGAGAGAGCCTTTGCATGTTCCTCATTTCTCTTCAAGTTAATTGGGGGATCTAAGCTATTTTGATTTCAAAATGAAGCCGTGTTCCTCTGATTCTCCGCATCCTGCTTTTAATGTGGGCGATGCTTAATTCCTGTTTTTTATCTGTAGTAATTCTTGCCTTTCACAGGGCTGCTGTAATCTTGCTCAAGAAACTACAGAGGAGAGGAGAATTTAGTGTGCTGCATTTTAGCAAGAGGTTTATATTCTGATTTAGGATTGCTGATGATTGATAAGAATAACTGTTTTCAGGAATGCTCACGTGAAATTTCATTCATAACGTTAAACAACATCTTACTTGGACATACTCAGTATTAAGGCTAGCTCTCAGTATGGGCTAAAGATGGCAAAGGAAATGGATGCTCCCTGAACATAACCAGAGTGTTTGTATCTCCTGAATGTGAAATGGTTCACAGATGCCTTTCTAGCCAAACCTCTAGAATTAAAAAATAATAATAAAAAGAATCATTAACCTGGTGTAGGTACCACAAAAAAGAAGTAAAATAAGTAAGTAGCATTTGTTTACTCCTTGCCTGGGGTAAGAACTCTTCGGGCCTGGTGGGCTCAGTGGTATGTGTTGCCCTCCCTGTCCGCCGCGCGAGCTCGCGGCCCGTTGCAGCAGGGACGTGGCGGTGCTGCAGGGGACGTCCGCGCGCGGCCGCGTCTGGCACTGCCGCTCCGGAGCAGGTGAGTGAGTCAGGGCCCAGGCACGCGCTCACCAACCTGCCCTGCTCCTGCCTGGCACGCAACATCACCCTGCCAGGCAATTTTTTTCTCTCATGTCCTAGCAGTTTTCAGCATTTTTTTCACAAAAGAGACTCGGTGGTGCCCACCTGCCAGCCAACTTGATTTCTGCCGACTGCTGCGGCAGGAGCAGAGTTTGCTCTGCTTATCGCAGTTGTACTTTGGTTATAGTGTCAGACGCAGGCAGATTAATTGGTTGTAGCTAGAGCAGAGCTGTCAGAGTATTTAACCCACTGGAGAAAAATTACCTAAGCTGATGATAAACAGGCTTTAAACGCAGAGCAATTACTTAGTGCTAACAGAGCACCATGGCTACATGCTTTGTCCAAATGTGAAAAGCAAAGCCTTATCGGTGACTCTGTTTGTAGGAGGACACTAAAAGATAACCTTTGTTTGGGTAGATACTTGCCCGATAAAATCTGCAGAAAAGAAACGAGGGAGGTTTCTGGTCTGCCTTGCCTGAAGGTTGTACTTCAGATTACACAGTACCAACAAAAATTTTTAACAGTCACAAATTGCACATTCTTCCTTTTATTTGGACCCCAAATTCCCTATGGTGGGTTTCTTTCCCGTTCACCTTGATTACTTGCATTGCAAGAAAGCACCTCCGAGACCTCTCACTGACGGGGCTGAGGATTTCACTGCTCACAGGCACAGACACGGGCCTGGTTGGTGCCGACCTCGCCGGGCTCCCTGCGGACCCGGCCGGAGCGGCGTTCCCAGCGCGGTGCCGCAGGGCCGCCACAAGGAGACCGGCCCCGGAGCTCCCACGCGGCACGAGACGCTTCCAGGGGCACAGGCACTCGAGGGTGTTTGTCTCCCGAGGGCCGCAGGTCGCAGTTTGAAGCAGCAGAGCTCTGAGTTTTTGTTTTCATTTGACCTCTGTCGAACTCAGTGAGGTCCTTCCTGTGTTTTAAAAATCTGGCTTAAGGGACACTGCTTATTGAGGGGTTTTAATTGGTTCCTTATAAAGTGCCCTTAAAGTTCCTCATGAAGATTTGCCATTTGGAGATTCTAAAATGGCTTTTGTGGTAAGGAAAATCTTGAGCACCAAATCCAAGCATGTGATTTTGTCTCTTCAGACCAGGTTTTTAGACCAAAGTGAGATTTTAGAAATCTATTTGGACCCTGTGTAGCATTTTGGCTGGTCACTAGTGTAATGGCGTGGTGCTGCCAAGGGCTGCAAACACCCGCTGAGCTCCCTGGATGGAGATGGCAAAGACATTAAGTTTTTACCTGTTCCATGAAGAGTCTGAGCAGAAGCAAGAGCCACTGAGTAAGTCCTGTCTGGCCCCTTTGAGCAGGGCTTTATTAAACCATCACTCATTAGGCTGAGCGAACCTGTGCAGACAAGCAAGCCACTGGAAACCAGGTGTCATTAATCTCATTGCTTGCTGAACTGCTTTGCTTCTGTTATTTCCTGCTCCGAGTGACTTGTTTGCATTTCATACAGAGGATTTTTTTTAACGTGCCTGATGTTTTGCGGGAGGTGCTGCAGGCGCGCTCTGCCCCTCCGTGAGCATTGGGAGCCCCACAGCAGCTCAAACTGCTTCTCTAACAGCGTCAGGCCAAGAAGGAAGCTGCACCAGCCTTACATACCGAGGGGTTTTATTGCCTCGTCTCCATAGCAGTGGACGTTAGCACTCCTGTGACTCAGTGCCTCTCCTGTAGCTCCAGGTGTGTCCTCCTGGCCACGGGGATGCAGTGCCAACTTCCAGAAAGCTGGCAGCCTGGCACTTGCTTTGGGCACAGGCACCGATACGGGGAAAGGGGCTGTCCCCAGTGGCCGGGAATGCCCAGCAGAGCGGGGCCCATCACATGTTTGCCCCTCAACTGCGTTCTCCTCACGAGGAGCAGCTCCTGCAGGAGGGGAAATGCGGCCCTGGAAGGCAGGGGAACGAGGCGTTAGTCAGCGAGGTTGCTCACTAACAGCTTGTGGGCTATGCAGGCTAAGGACTTTCTGCAGCCTGAGAAAGGAAATCTCTCATTAGCTAGTTATTTTCCTCAGGAGCGTGGTGAGGGCATCAGCAAATCATGCAGCTCCTGGCAGTGCTGCTGCACTGTCTAGTGCCTGGCCTGTGCAATACAGGGGAGCGACTGGGGCTGAAAATACCAATAGCTCCCAAGTGCTGTCTGGAGCATTTAGCGATCAGTTCTAATAATCTTCTGTGTACATGCGAGGAATCGGCTGCCCGATAGCTGGATTGTCACCGTTTTCTAGCCGTCTTCGACAGTGTGCTGAACGTGGTGTGAAGGCATGGCGTTATGAAGATCCCTGGTTTGACTGTAAGTTAGGAAACAAGTCCATGGTTTCTGCCCTAAGCAGGTGCTGTAAAACAGTCGCTCTTCTTGATGTCCCTGGTAGCTTTTATTCCAAGAGCGACGGGATGCTGCGCTCCGCGGGATCCCTGAGCTCCGAGGCCGGAGCGCTGGTCGTGTCTCTGTGCATGCTAGGTCCACCTCTTCCTGGCATCTTCATGGCAGGTGCACAGGCCCTCGTTAACTTTCCTTGCCAATATCCACCTACCTTTACAAAAGCTGCTTTTCACCATGGCCTTGCTTTAACCCGCTTGTCCGTTTTGCCACACGTGATTCTAATTAGGAAATCTACTCTCTCTTCAACTCTGGGTAATTTAGCTTTACTGCACAGGGCCGTCAGGGGATAATCAATGGTCTTGCTTTAAATCTTGTTTCATTTAAGGAAAATATGCCTTTCTCAAATAAGTCATTTCAAAGTCTATACTAGTACAGATATTTCTGTATACAAAAGGGAATAACTCTACCAATATAGATCAACTGCATGTTGGAAGAACAGTATCTGCACTGACATTTTTTCCCAGTATAATTATTTCAGTTAAAAAATTACTTTCCAGACTGACTTTTAGAAATTTCTAGCAGACCAGGAATCTTCTCCCTTCCCCCACCAAAAAAAAAAAAAAAAAAAGAGTCATTGCACTCTGGGGGGAGATAGAGTCAGTGAGAAGAAGCCACCCTATTGAAGTGTGTTGCCAACATATCCATTTTTCTTTTCTTTTTTTTTTTTCCAGGATTTTTCCCAGGGAGTATCTTCTTCAGCAAATCCATCTTTACTCTCTTGCAGACCTCCAGCAGGTAAGTTTCTTCCGTTGATTCTACGTGTTTCACACCAAGCAAGTTCTCCTCTCCGGTGATAATTGCATGCTCTCTCTTCTTGCTAACCGGAGCATGAGCAGCTCTGCATCCAAACCATGTCTGGTTTACAGTTTGATACAAAAATGGGTTAACAGCAGCGCTGGGTTAGGATTGGGAGAGAGCAAGTCTAGAGTTGCAGTTGAGATGAGCCTGGAAAGAAGTTATGAAAGAGAAGTGTGGGCTGCAAAGACAGCTTTGCTGTGTGAAAATTTTCACCCAGACAAAAGCTGGAGGAGGGAAGGGGACTCATCTAGGGCTCAGCCTGCAAGGGATCAGTAATATTTACTGAAAGAATAGTTCTTCAGAAGTCTATTGAGTGTGCAGTAACTCTGTTAGGCTTTCTCACGATACCAAAACAGAAAAGCTGCAGCAGGCCCACGGCACAAAGCTGGGCCCTGCAGTGCCACTGTGACATTTGTAACCACAGCACAAGGTGTGTGCTATCGAGATGCATCTTTGCATTGATGGCTCATGTGGGTTGGGCTAAGCAAGCAGCTTGCAGTGCGCCTACCTGAACAGCAGAATTTTATCACATACCAGGTTAAACAAAAAGAATTTGGCAAAATGAACTGGAAAGGGGAGGGAATCGGGGGAGAATGTGCTGCAGCGCTCAGGTACAGTTGAGGAAGTAATAGGGCAAGATGGGCTTAGCTGATCTGTGCACATCTGTGTACACAGTCTTATGCCATTGGCAGTAATACGTAAAATACATTAGTTTAAGCAGCTTTCACAGGGGTTTCCTGAGCTTGACCTTGCCTTTTCTGCCGGGGGAGGACTTGCAGAGTCAGTGCTGGTTGACACATTAAGTTGAAGTTGTTCAAATGCGTCTCAGAGCTGAGAACTGCAGAACCACAGAAAGCAACGTGTCTGTTGTTGGCTGGTCAAACCACAAGCTGTTTTGACATATATATATTATTCCATATATATAAGAAATGAAAAGTCCAGCCTTCTGAGGTCTAAAACTGTTCCCACAGCTTTTCAGCTTGTTCTACTATCTCGTCTTTAATATCAAGCCATGAAATAGCAAGCTACTTAACTCCAGAGCTGCAGTCTCCCTGGTGGGCCTGTCTGTTAGCCCCCAGTGCTCTGTAAGCTGCTTAATCAGTTCCTAACATTGGTAGTAGATGTTTTAGAAGCAATCAGCAGCTTATCAAGCAACCTGTGGGAGGTAGGGTGGGTAGGAGTCACAATTCATTCATTGATTTAGCCATTCTCTGTAGCATGTTTCTTTGTGTTTATTTGTGTTTGCAAGACACCTTCTCCTCCCGCGGGGGCCCCAGCCCCAAACTTATCGTATTTGAAGGCTGTATAATTCAATTACCATTTCTGCTGGGGTGGGTTAAATTGGATTTACTTTTTAATCTGGCCATATCCTTGTTATCAGCCTAGAGAGGGTTTTCCACATTTCAGAGGCTCCAAGTTTGAAATCAGATTGCCTGTTTTTGTCAAAGTGGAACCAGAGTGGAAAGGGGAGGAAGCCCCCATTGAGAAAATGTATCCAACAGCCAGAGAAGCACTGATGTCCTAGAGCCCCTGCCTCCTCCCTGGTTTGTTCCTTACTGCTGCCTTCTCCTACCTGCTCATTGCTTTCCCCTGACATGCAGTTTGGCAGTTTTTTAATTCTAAATGTTTCCCCTCCTTTTGATTCTTCTGCTGCCTATTTCTTCATATCCTTGGGCTGCTTTCACACTGTATCCTGCTGTCATGTATATTGTATGTGTTTGGGGAATTAACTAAAAGATTTATTAAAGATTAATGGAAAGATAAGACATGGTGAGTGAATTAGAAAAGCAGAGAGGGGTAATCTGCAGAAATAAGCAACCTTACCCCAGTTAGTCCCAGCTCAATTCTGATTTGTTTCTTAGTTCCCTTTAAAGATTCTAAAAAAACAAAGAATGCTTTTCTACCAAGTGATGGGTTTAAAATGTGCTATGAGGGTCTGTTCTCAGGTGAAAAATAATAAAAAAAAGGGTGCAATGTACATTTGCCAGTAGCCAAAGTGGCGTGTGAAAGGAAATCTAATTCACAGCTCCTTCCTTGTGCAGCAGAGCTCCATGCCTAGGCTGGGTACGTGCAGCAGAGTAAGTTCTTGAGCTCTCTGGCAGTCTGGAGATGGTTTGGGGTCCATTTGGACAGGGCTGTGCTGGGGGAGACCTTAGCTATGGGATTCAAAGTGCCTGGGGGAGGGAATAGAAGCAAAATGTCCTTATAAGCTCGCCAAGCTCCCAGGGAGGCTTTGCGAGGCCTTTGCTGGTTAACAGATCCTGCTAGCACAGGAGACCCAACCTTCAACCATCGAGCGAGCTGGAGGAGTTGTTATTTGTGTGCTCGTGTGCCCCAAGACTTGCACAGCCCAGCAGAGCTTCATGGAAAACAGGGCCCCCGTAAGCAGCACCAGCAAAGCCCACGGGCAGCGCCGTGGCCTGTGCGTTCGGAGCCTCCTCTTGTCGCTGGCAGTGAGGATAACTAATTAATTAGGCGCAGATTTAACGAGCAGGAACAGAAAGAGTGACGACCCGCTCACCCATTCTGCCCCGCTGGCTACAGTTGTTCCTGGCCCGAGTCACCTGTGAGGCCTCTGTTCACCTGCACTGTATCTCAGTTATCCAAGTTATCCTGCGCTATTCCAATCAAATAAAGCTTTGAAGGGAAAGATGTCCTGAAATTCCTGTTTTCAGTAGACATAGTAGCCGCCTTGTTGGTGCCAGCTCTGCTCATATGACTGATGGTGGGGCCACTGGTTTTGAGACCAGTGGACACCCAAATCAACGTTCAAAATTATCCTTTCATTTTGTGTGACGAGGGACTCTCTTTTTAGTGAGACTAACAGCTTTTAAGCTGCATTAATTTGGACAGAAGCCGACTTAGATGAGACTCCTGCCTTCCCTAGGAAAAACAGTTCTTGCTATTTACACTAGATCCCAGCATAACTGAATCTTTCAAGTAAAGGGTCCGAAGGGGCTGTTTTGACCAGCTCAAAAGTTGTTGCTGAATCCATCCAGGGTAGCTGTATCCTGCCTGGTTTCTTCTTGTTAAATAACAAGATATGCAAGTGCACAAAGGGAATTATAGTGTTGTTCTTTACCGATGAAAGACATTTTTTCATGGATTTTTTGTTCATTGTGATTACACCACTCCGAAAAGATACAGGTAAAAAAAAAAAATCTATGTAAGAGTAATAATGACTGGAGGTTGAGGATGGAAGCCTTGACTGTGATTAAAGATACAAAAACATGATGATTTGAAGACTCATTTACATAGGAACACTCAGGGAAAAAAATCTCTTTGAAGTGATGAAATATAGGGTTTAAAATGCTGAACTGAACAGCATTGAATGCCTATGTAAATATCGTTATTCAAAAAAATAAGTGGCTTTCATTTGCCTTGTCTCCATTTGCTTTGGAAGAAAAGTAAGCTAAATTGTATTAAGGCTGTTTTAATTCTGAATATGTGTGTCCATACAGAGGTTTAATGTAGCGTAATTCATTCATTTTAGCAATGTAGATAAACCAATCCATTAACATTTAATTAAGACATCCATTCAATTCAGATCAACTTTTCTGGCTATGTATGTGTGGATAGACTATTAGAGAAGAGACTGGTTGACTTCTGCACCCTGTTTTCTCCTGCTGCAGTTTCTTCTTTCCTCCTCTTCCAGCTGGGAACACTGTTTTTTGGTTAATACAGATTTGGTGGGACTTTGGAAGTGTCGCTGGGATAGGTGTGCCAGAGAATCCCATGCTTAATAGCTTTACACACACAAGCATTTGTGCACACTTGGTTATGTCAATGAGAAAGTCTTTTCTGCTGGGATAATTTGCTTCTTCCAGGGAACCAATTTAAGCTGAATCAGCTTAACTTCTGTTTACAAAAGAGGTTTACCTATGCAGCTCTACCTGCAGATCCATTTAAGTTTCGACAAGCCCTTATTTTGCTGGAGGGGCAGGAGGTGGCGCATAAGATACTGCAACAGGGTTTTGGTAGGGCCGTGAGTGCTATGAAATGCTGCTGAGATGGCTGGAGCCGTGTGTGGTGCCCCAGCCCTCTGCTGCAGCGCACAGCCCTCGGCGAGGGCAGCGAAACGCCAGGCCCGTCCGTGGATGTGACGCACGGATGTGACCTGGGAAAGCAGCATTTGGAAAGGATGGTGCATGCAGCCTCTTCTGGAGGCCTTGCAGAATGGAAGCAGCCAGTTCCAAGTGAAAGGCTCCAGGAGTGAGTGACCAGTTCAGACCTAATAATCCTGGAGTCAGGTGTTGATGTTTTAATGAATGTGTTGTGCGGTTCAAATGCATGAAAGGCGGTACAGCACACACACAATTACATGTGCTTGAACTCTGTGAACAGGCAGAAGTCTCTTGGGCCATAAAAGCATACTGTTAATACCCATCTGTATGTCCCTCCTTCGAGGCCTGACGAGTGTGATTCCACAGAAGAGTATCCTGGGACAGCAAAAAAAAAAACACAGTGTGTATTTCCATAACAAATTGAATTGCCTGGTGGCAAAACATCAAATAGGCTGTTCAGATAGATTTCTGTGTCTGTGTCACCTTCCTCTGTCACTCATTCCTGACACTCAGCTTCCTTTCCACAGAGCAGGAAGCTCTCCAGGGTGGCTGAGGCTCCAGGTGTGTGAATAATTCCCCAAATTGCTGACAGCTCAGCTCATAATTAGTGGCGATGGCAGAGGTCTGACCGGCGTCTCGTCCTGACCGGCCGGGCACAAGAGTTGCCGTCACCAGTGGGTTGTGGTCGAGCAGAGAGCCTGGCAGAGGCCGGCGGGCTGCTGGATGGCAGAGCGGGCCAGGAGAACTTGGCAGGTGTCAGCCAGGAAGACAAGTTCATCTAAGTTTAATTAGGTGTGTCAAAATCTTGGGGTGAAGTGTGGAGATAGGGCAAGATTGTTAATAGATTTTTTTTTTTTACAGCAGAACTGTTTT